TGGGAAAGGGCCATCGTGGCGAGGGGGACCATTGCTGAAGGCTTCTTGCCTGGACGTGGGAACCACCAGCGTGGATAGTCCAGGAAGGCTGTTGGTGGCGGGTTCTCGTTCCATGGCAGTTAGGGTTTTACCGTAACCCTAAATCAAATATTAGGCAAATAGGCCTCCTTTGGGTCTGGGTTTTTTGTGATGGGTTAGATGTTTAATGGATGAGTTAAGTTATAATGGCTTATTTGAATGTAAACGGATAAAATGTTTGGGCTTTATAATGGGTATGGGTTTTGATTTGGTTACATGTAAAAGGACTTTAATATGGTGTTGAATTTTTAATTTTTTGGGTATTTGGTTAATGGTTTGTTTGGTTAAGTTAAATTGACTGTTGTCGATATTTAATTTTTGGTAATTGGTATTATTTAGGACCTCAGTTTCCTAAAATGGATATATTTGATCTCTAAACCCTCTTAAATGAATGCTCGAAACTCATCAAGTCCCAAAATTATTTCACTTCCATGTAATAAAGCCACTTAAACTAATTTGATGTCGATGCACAAAAATCCTTCAAAATTTCCCTCTAATATTTTCGGTCCGATTTCATTGGTCGGACAAAATTAGAGTATAACAATGTGTCTATAGATCCTTTAAAGAATTCATCATCAATTAAGTACTAAGATCAGAAGCTGAAAAGAGGCCTTAACAATGATGAATCACAACATGTAAGAAGCCGGTTGCGTATTTCTATGAAAGAGCACATACAATTGGTATATGTAACCCCCTCAGACCGTTGTGGATGGCCCGATCCGGGGTGTCACATTAGAGTCACCGAAACGACCCATCGTAGAAAATCTCAGAAAATTGAATTTTTTTATTAAAACATATAAAATCATAAAAATTCATTTATAAATACAAAAGTAAATTTTACAGTATTCGGAAGTAAAACAAATTTCAGACTCATATGTAAAACAAATTACAACCTACATGCTCCCTAATCACCTGCATCGTACTCTGCAAGCAATGCCGGTGGAACTCCCCTGTTGAAATAGCTAGTCGCACTGGTACAATTCTTTTAACCTGAAATGGTGAGTAACAGAGTGAGCTTTGGAAAGCTCAGTAATACAATACTACCAGTTGATGCTACGAACATGCAGATAAATGAAAAGCCGTAAAATTTCATTATTGACTAAACTTAAACACATTTTCGGGATAAGCTGCAGTACCACTGATATTTATTCGAGTAACAAGCATGAAGATTACAGTTCAAAGGAAACAATCAAAGATCCAGGTTCAGAGAATCATAATAGTTTGTCTAGTGTGTTCCAACCAAAACCAGTGAAAAGATATAAATCCTTTAGGACAATAATTGTTTAAAATATATTTTCAAAACCATAGTGGAACCCTTCAATCGAACACCGTTATGCAATTTCCCAGAACTGCATCCATAAGGGTTTTCCCTAAGCACACAGCAGAGGGAGCCACCCTAAGTGAATGCCTTGGAGCCCAAGAGCCTACCCAAGAAAGTTACTCGGGGCCACAGGGCCTACCCAAGAAAGATCTCGGGGCCTCGGAGCCTACCCAAGGGTCACCTTAGGGCCGTAAGGATTTACCAGCTGGATCAGGGTTGAACCTTCATTACTCCAAAATCCTACCCATATAAAATCCAGTAGAAATTAGTTTTAACAGTAAAACATAACATCTAGATTGTGATCCAGTAAAATCTCGTAAACGTGACATTAGAATAAACCATATAATTGTCCTCCACCTGTACACCGTATATAGTCCCATGATTAACCCAAGGGAGTGCCTTGGGGCCTGAGAGCCTACCCAAGAAAATTTCTCGGGGCCTCAGAGCCTACCCAAGGGTCACCTTAGGTCCGTAAGGAATACCAACTTAATCAGAGTTGAACCTTCAACCTACCCAGATAAAGTCCTAATAAAACAGTTCATGTATAACTAGTGAAAACAGAAAATCATAGTTCATAAATTAGTAAATTCCATGATTCCATAAATCATGAACAAATCATATTTTTTCGTTGAAAACCGTAATCGAAGAACACATACCGTGTAGCCATGGTTCATATGCCAGTAAATCAATAAATTTCGGTAAAACACATTTTAAAACATATAAAACATTCATGTAGTACATGAGGAACACACTAGAGGATTCAAGTATTTTTCAGAAGCACTTAGTAGTTATTAGTAAAACATGAAATTTTTGTAATTTGATCTGACTCTGGGAACGAGGTACTATTTAAAGGAATCGATTACTAATGGAACTAATCAGACATTTAAAGTTGATACTTTATAATTCCGCTATAATTTCAGGTGCACCAGAAAGGTGTTCAAGAACCTTTATACATAATAATTTTAGATTCAGATTTACTGAGAGTGATTTCATTACTTAACAATTCAGAGGTATTCAACATTATGAATTGAATTATCAGGATTTTAAGTCCAATTGAAACAAATGAGATATTCAGAATCATTTGCATCTAAGTTACTTGTGTGATCAGATATGACCGGAGTGATTTGAGTTGATAAGGGAGAAACCAAGATTTAGGACATTTACAATCTGTGTCAATCTATCGGATTATCGAGTTACTCGAGCTGAACAACTCCCAGAACTAATGCATGCTTATCAGTCAATTCATTGCCCTTCTATGGTATTCACTTTTTAATACCAACACTTCTTGTCTATAGATCACCTTCAGTATCATCGCTGAATATATCTTATGGAGACGAACATATATTCCAATTGCCTTTATTTCATTTCCACAGTGCAACAATATCAGAAATTGTTGACGTACTTAATTCGTGGTTCATAACCCATACAGACAGTACATCAAGCAAGATCGTTAGTGTTTCCAGACTTATCCAAGTCATTCAATTAATTCAAGGTCATCGGGATACTTAATTCAATTAGTATTCCAATTTACCTTGGTCGCTTAGGAGTTTCCTGAGTAATTCGGTCGTTTCCGCAAATTCGAATACATACAGTACTTCCATTCCTTAACTTGGTCAAATAATATAGTCATATAGGTATTCGAGGTTAATTTTTTTATTTCAGAGCTTGAGGCTTTAGACATTCCAGGTCTTGGAAATACTTTAGATCATTTTACATTTTAGGGGCATTTCTATAAATCCAATATAGATCTGGAATTTAAATAGGTGATTCCATGATTCAAGTGAATCAAGATATGAGTTCTCAGGTCGTCTCCATTATCATAGTCATCCATATTGCTTTTTTGCTCTTTAAAGGTATTATCGTAATTTCATCCAATTTCGGCAGTGGCATTACTTCGGGTAACTTAGGCTTGAAAGTATTCTAGTTCCATTAAAGTTCAGATTACTTTGCTCGTTTACTCACTGGAGGTTAATTTAACCATTAGGAAAAATCTTGGTCACTTTTTAGTACAAGGGCATTTTCATAATTTTATACCTTAGGGTTATTTTAGGTAATTTCTTATCCAAATAATCTCAATATTTAACTTTTAAAGAAATTTATTAGAATTTACGGATCTTGAAACCGATTCATTTATTTATTGGATCACTAAACTTATAATTATTTTCGATTGATCTTCCAATTTCTCTTTATCGAGCTGTCTAAATCTTATACCATGCTATGTCCTTATTTCAATTTACGTCTGATTCTAATGATAGTTAAATACATTTAATGGATCAATCTTTCCAACCAAACATTTACCACCCATCCATGAGTTCCGAATAACATACAAAGGGAGTAGAGTATTACTTCGATTTTTATGCCATATCGATCAACCATTTAACTCCATTCGATTTCCCTCAAACTTTAATTCAACTTCCAATAATCCCTCGGATACAAGGTAACCAAATTTACGTCAGAAACTGAACTCAATTTAGAAACCATTTTGAATTCTGAAGGTAAAACATCGAAAAATGATTTATCAGGTGCGAATTTGACAAAACGGACTTCGAATTCGGACTCAGGATGTCGAAAAACATAAAACGTGATCTTTTTGAAAAAAGTTAACCTTTTGGTCAACGGTCAACAGTCAAAGTCAACGTGTTGACTCGGTCAAGTTGACTCAGACCGAGTTGACTCGGTGACTGGACTGGACCAAGCGGGTCGGGTCGGACCGGATAGGTGAGTCGGGCAGACGGATCGACCCGATTCTAGAATCTTTCCCAACCAAAACAAACCCACGCGCAGGTGGCGATGTGCGACGCCGACGATAGGCTCGGGGCGGACGATCGATTCTTCCTGAAGCAGCTAATCACCAAATTAGACCAACATTCAATCTAACAACATCAAATAACCCATCCAAAACAATCGAAATAAACTAATAACTTACCCACGCCGGTGGTCGATGAAAATAATGACGGTGAACGACAACCCCGATCTGGTTTTGATCGAAACTGGAAGGGAAATATGTTGATACAGGCAGTGATGCAAGATGGTCACCGGATCGACCGAAATTAACGCAAAACCGAACAGCGATTGGGGTGTTTCTGTCGAAGCTATACTGTGCTCCACCCGTCGTTTGGCGACTGATCCGGGGAAGAGAGTTGAGGGGTTTTGGTCGAGGTGGTTCACCGGTTCAATTGGGACGAGTGGTGACACTCACTGGCGGTCGGAGCAAGAAAAATTTTAAGGGGAAGGCGACGGGGATTTTGGGTGACTTCTCTCTCAATTCACGATGGACGACAACCATTTTGGGCGATCTATGGGTCAGTCGAGGTAGCCAATCGATGGCAAGCTCGGAGGATGCAACGGCGTGCTCCAAAGACGGTTGGACTGCGACTAATTTTTAGGAAGGCCGACTGCAATTAGGGTAGACAACCATTTGGGAAATCTGGTTCGATCAATCGAGCAGGGTTAAATTTTACTGACCATGAAAAAATGGGTACATTCCAGAATGGATCCCTGAATTTCTTGAAATTCCTAAAACTACCCATAAGATTCAAAAACTCATCCCCTAATTTTGGGTGTTACAGTATATGCCTCTTACCAGAATCTGGTTGAGTTCTCCCAAGTGTCTTGATGTTATTATTATTCAACTCTTCAACCACCTCAATATCCGAAGAAGAAAAGAGAAATCCGCAATGGCACGCTCATGGCAACGCTGATCAGAAATCTGCTGGTGAAGACATTGATTGTTATGTTCTTTGTAACAGTAGCTACCGCCACAGGCGACGCCCCATTCATCATCGCTCACAAGAAAGCATCCTTGACCAGACTCAAATCAGGCTCCGAACGCGTCTCCGTCTCCATTGAAATCTACAACCAAGGCTTCTCGTGCTTTTCTCTATCTTTTTTTTCTCTTTAATTTTATCCAGATTTACCTATCATTCTGAATTGATCCTCAATTTTGAGCTGAATTCTATATATTCTTCTTGTACGTATTCAATTACCTTTAAGCCTTGCATGATATGCAGCTGATTTTAATGTGAGAAAAGATTGCTCTGATTTAAAGCCAATTTCATTTATTGTTTTAGTTATTTGGATCTAGGATAAATGAAATGAAATAGTAAATCTGACTGATCATTTCAATAAATTTTGAAAAATAAGGATATTGTATTCCTTTTTGATATTTACGCCTAGAGAATACTTTGGCACACTTCCTTTTCATTTTCCATAACTTTTTATGCTCTAAAGTTTTGCATATCCATGAATATTCAATATTATTGTTATATTTCCAATTCATGTAAAGTTCTGTTCTAACCTAGTTGACTATCAATTCTAATTGGAGGTTGGTTTTACTATATGATCCAAAATAATGCTTGAAATTTATTGCTGTAAATTATAGCAACTCTGGAGTGGTTGTAAGAAGCATTGTCTATTTTCTCTTCTTTTGATGTTCCTGCCAATTCACAAGTGGAGTATTTTTGGATGTCTCTTGCATTTTTGTGTTGTTGGGATATTATCTAACATGAGGAGCAATCTTTCTGAACAAAAAAAAATGATTCAGGACAGCATATGATGTGAGTGTCGTCGATGATAGCTGGCCCCAATAAATGTTTGATATTGTCAATGGTAACACTTCACAGACGTGGGAGAAACTTGATGCTTGAGTTTTGCTTTTGTTTAATTCTAATGAATATGTTCTTCCAGGATTGAATCAACTAAAACGCTGAACTTTACTCTGCAGTGGTGCTCTTCTATCTCATCCATTTGAATTAGAGGCCAAAAAGCAAGGAATGTTCTATGGTGCCCCAGCAGTAATTACTTTCCGGATTCCCACAAAAGCTGCTTTACAGGTTTCAGATAACTACAGAGTCTGTTCTTAAAATGTAAGAGAAGAAATTGTCGAAATAAGCTCTAATGCTCTAGTTTGTTGTGTTTTTAGGAGGCTTATTCAACTGAAATTTTGCCGTTGGATGTTCTTGAAAGATCTCCAGAGAAGTTTGAGTGGGTAAGTTTCGTTTGGAATAACAGTAATCAATGAACCATAGCTATTCAATATCTTTTTTCCCTTTTTCAATGTTACTAAATCATTTTTGTGTGTGTTACTTTTGGAACACGCCTTGGTGGTCACTAACTATTGAAGGCTAAGGTATAAATGATTCCTGTTATATTTGTTAAAATGATCATATATGCATCTAAAATTTGGACGGATAGGAATTTCTTTCAGGCATTGCCATAATTGTTTCAGGAGAAAATAATATGACCATCTAGTTCTTAACCTTTGCCTCTCAAAGTTTGATTTATGGAATACATAAGCTACTACCTATTACCTATACCTTGAAATCAATATAAAGCCCTGGCTAATTATGGATCTCAAATTTCTGTGATCTCGATTGTGGTTTTGTTCATCCACCTGATTGCGATCCCGTCAAAACCCAGTGCTGCAAAAGCAAGCAAGAAGAAGCGCTGACTACTGTAGTTGAATTGAGAATAGCTAAAATCAATAGCCTGCCTGCACTTAAGGCACGGACCTTTCTTTATGTTTGCACTCAGATAGGGTTTTCCTTTGTTCTTCTTGTTCTTAAAAAAAAAACTATTATGGTTAGAACATGTTTCTGGAAATTTCTAATGAAAACTGAGTTTAGCCGAATCTTAGTTCCTAGGCCTAGTAAACTGGATTGAAACGGGGTTGTCTCATGAAAGACGGATTAATATACGGCGTTATCGGAAGCATAATAAGATATTTAACAAATTCAGTTTAGCGCTATCGGAAATGTTGAGTAATAATAATGTTGTAGGTGGAAATCATGAAGAAATATTAAAAAATTTGACAATCGGTAAACTTAGCTTGTCGGTACGTATCGATACAAATAAAATATGTATCGATCCATAACAATATAACAAGTAAAAATATGACAAAACCGATTTTATTATGACAAAACCGGTAAAGTGCTACCAGATATGTTGAAAGTATCGATTCCATTGAAATAAGTATCGACACTTCTGGAATTTAAAAGAGAAGCAGTAATAGCGTCTAAAAAGTATCGATAATTTATAAAAATATATCGATCCATAACAATATAACAGGTAAAAATATGACAAAACCGGTAAAGCGCTACCGGATATATTGAAAGTATCGATTCCATTGAAATAAGTATCGACACTTTTGGAATTTAAAAGAAAAACAGTAATAGCGCCTATAAAGTGTCGATAATTTATAAAAATGTATCGATCCATAACAATATAACATGTAAAAATATGACAAAACCGGTTTTATTATGACAAAACTAGTAAAATGTTACTAGATATGTTGAAAGTATCAATTCCATTGAAATAAGTGTCGACACTTTTGGAATTTAAAAGAAAAGCAGTAATAGCCCCTATAAAGTATCTATACTTTATAAAAATGTATCGATCCATAACAATATAATAGGTAAAAATATGACAAAACAGGTCTCATTATGACAAAACTGGTAAAGCGCTACCGGATATGTTGAATGTATCGATACTTTAATAAGTACGCGTAAGAAATTATCAATACTTTTAAAAGAAATAGGTAAATATCCTATCGAAAGTATCGATAGTGACATAAAAGTATCGAGACTTGGGTAAATGTATCGATTAAATATAAATAACATATACGGTTAAAATATAAAAGGCATAGCTAAATTTCCTCTGAAAATAGATAGAACACGACCGAGTTTTTGAATTCGAAGCGTAATTGTTGCTGCATTTCAGAATGCATTTTTAAAACGAAGTTTGTTTGTTGCTGCAGTTGAATCGAAAAGTACGTTGTTAAAACCCTAGTTTTTTTATTATTACAGGAATCGAAAATAGGGGTTTTATGTGTTTGGGATTTTCGAAGTAAAGAAGCATTTGAGACCGATTACAGGTAGAAAGTGATATTCTAGGTAGATGATAAATACCGATACTTTTATAAAATATTATAGGTAGAAAATGATATTGTAAGTTGTATAGAGTATTCCCATTTGTTTGAAGGAAATAGGGATTAGAGTTTTATGGTTTGGTTTGGGGATTTCAAAGCCAAGAAGGATTTGGGACCGATTATATAATATTATAGGTAGAAAATAAATATCGTAACTTGTATATAATATTATAGGTAGAAAATGATATTGTAGGTTGTATAAATGTGCTGATACTTATAGTAGTGTCATTTAAATTCTTTTGAAGGAAACCGTTTTACTTCAAGAGTAGTTATCGATATTTGCATATTGAATAAATTGTATGTAACCAATATTTGATTTTGATTTGCGTAAATTGATATATAAAGGAAAAATGAAATCAACGGATCTTGCAATTGTTAATTGTGAAGATGACTTTGAAATTGAGGACGAGAGTCGAAAGCAACCAAAGGGTGGATATATGTAATTCTAGTAAGTATCAATGTATTTTTGTTATTATTGTTGACATGGTAATTAGATTAAAGCATTTAAGAACTTTAAATTGATTACAAATTTTAAATATTGACAGTATGACCGAATGCCAAAGGATGAAGGAAGCTGGCAATCACGATATGTAAAATGAAATTGACATTGAGTATTATTTAGCGTTAATGTATTGATTAAGAAACATTTATGCTTAATTTTAGGTGAGAAATGATGTGTTGGAGAAATGGAAGTCGATGACTGATGCTGAGAATGAACCTTACTTGACACGGTAAAAGATGGATAGACAATAATACAAACCTTGGAGGAAAACACGTGAAAAGAAGGTATTCATTAAACTTGTAAATACTTTGATAAAAGATATATAAGAACAATAACATTATATATTTTTAAAAAATGTAATAAGTGTCGACAAGGTGCAGCATAAAAAGAGTGAATTCATTAATTGAACACCTTAAGGAGAATGAGCAATTGAATGTGCTGAAAGAAATGGGGTATGGATCTTTGATAGGAGTAAGGGATCGACCAATTCGGAGGGAATTGTGTCGATCCTTGGTGGAGCAATTCGATGTCCAACAATATATGGTTAAATATGGTGATTATTCATTTCCTCTGGGGGTCTCATGTGCTGCAGCCGTCTTGGGGGTAGAAAATAAAGGCAAAAGTGTTGTAGAAGTCAATAAGACTAGTAACTGGAAAGCACTTGCCTCCAAATATGATTTGAAGCACAATGTGACATATGCTGAACTTGAAGAGGAAATCAAAAGTGGATCTTACGAGGGGGATGACCTAAAGGCCCGAGTTTTATTGTACCTTGTCGGGATCTTTCTTTGTTCAATGGGTGATACATCAAAGAGCAAGGACAATATGAAGTTGATTTGCGATGAAGGCTTGAAAGGTAAATTCAATTGGGCTGAATATGTTCATTCGAGATTGATTGAATCAATAATCAACTTTCAAAAGGGCCACCAAAGATACTTCAAAGGGTGCATAGCAATCTTAGAGGTAAATGAGTCAAAGAACATTTTTATTTTTTATATAAAATGATAGTATAGTTATTATATAAAATGATAAATTTAATTATAAATGCAGGTTGCACTGTTCGATTTTTGGACAGACTCTAATAGTATGCCGGCATATGAAAGAACCAGAGTGGCATGCATCTATGCATGGGGGAAGGAAGAGATGATGAGAGTGATGGTGAAGTTGATATTGGATAGACCGACAAAGCAAGAAAGGGTAATAAATGTAATTAAATAATATTAAGAAAATCAACGTAATGTATTAATATTGTAATTTAATTTTGAAGGTTATTGGCAAGGAGGTATAGGAGGCAGTGGAGGAAGAGGAGAAGGAGGAAGAGATGATATTATAGGGAATGACGGTGAGGGAAAATAGAGTAAATTCGACATTTTGATGTCTGGATTGGCGGATGTAAAAAATTCCTTTTTGATATTTTTCAAAGACAATCAAGAGTCGAAGAGGCAATTGAGAGGCTTAAGGAGGAAGTGGGTGGAAAAATAGATTGAGTGGTGAAAGAAGTTGTGGAGTTAAGGGGTGAAGTTGAGATGGTGATGGGTGGAAAAATTGATGGAGTGGTGAAGGAAGTTGTGAATTTAAGGGGTGAACTTACGGGGGTGAAAGGAGTGGTTGAGAAAAAGTTGGATGAAAGGAAAAAATGAATGGTGAAATAAAAGAGATGAAGAGTTATGTAGAGGAAAAATACGATTAATTGAAAAAATAAATGATTAAGGAAGTGAGGAGGAAGGATATGGATGTGATTAATACACCAGAGAGTGTTATAGATGCAGATTTGGATTTAGAATGTCCTGCACCCAAGAAGAATAAGCAGAAGTAAAGATGAATAAAAGAAAACTTAATTCGATTTTTATTATATTATTGTGACAAAAATTTGTATGCAAAATTGTAGGTTGAAAAAGCGGAAATTCTAAGAGAAATTGATGATTACGAAGCTGCAATGTGTGATTATTTATGGAATAGTGGGTTAGAATCGTCTTAAGTGAAATATATTGTTTTGTGAGTGATATTTAAATATTTCAAGACAAAATATTAATCCTAATGCTTCATACAAATATGTTGTAATCGCAATGGGAAATCAATTCGCTACTGTATCCGACGTTGAAATGTTGAAGTCTATAACAAAAGGGCGCGATGATGTAAATATAAGGGAAATTTTGTATACGCTTTATAATTTTGTATCTGAATGTAATTATGTATGAGATGATAAAAGTTAGCAATAGGTTGTTGTACATATTTCTTATACATAGTAGGAGTTATGTTGATACTTACGATGTATGGAGATCGTTGTCTTCATTATTCCAAATATCACTAACATAATTGTCATCATGTGCGGGACTGATGGGTCTTTCCATTCCATCTAATATATCGGTTTTATGACAGAATAGGTCAACATAATGTATCAGTACTTTTTACATTTGTGTCGATACTTTTGGTCCAGAATGAATGCCTAATGAGGTGCACACATAAAGTGTCGATACATTTATTAAAAGTATCGATCCCAAAAACATCGAAACTGATAATTGTAAAGTCATAGGTAAATTTACAATGTAACCGATAAAAATATACATGTTTTATGACAAAATAGGTCAACATAATGTAATGATACTTTTTACATTTTGTGTCGATATTTTTTGTCCAGAATAAATGCCCAACGAGGTGCACGCATAAAGTGTCGATAC